GGAGGCCTAGAAGCAATGATATCCATTACAGTAAGTATACTTAGCACCTGTGACTTGGTTTTTAAATACTGCTCTCCTGTCAGTACTGGTCAGTAGATCTTTCTGTGATGAAAATGTTTTGTGTCTTCATTGTACAATATCATACACACTTGGTATGTGTGGCTGTTGGGAAATTGAAATACAGCTAGTATGGCTAACAAGCTGATTTTTACAGTGGTGTACTCCTATAATCCCAGAAACCTAGAAAGGCCGAGGCAGCGGAAAACCAAATTTGAGTCCTGCCTGAGCAATTTAATAAGACCATGTCACCAAAATTAAAAGCTGAAGATGTAGCACTTTGGTAGAATGCCCCAGGCTCAAAACTGAGTAATACCAAAAAGCAAAATACAAAAAAGTCCTGATTTTAAAATTTTGCTAAATTAATTTAAATATAAATAACAACATGTTGTTAGTGGCTGCATGATTAGTATAAAAGAATCTGCTTCTTTCTAGCAGTGGCTGATTTCAGGGCTTGGGTAGAGAAAATTCGAGTCTGAAGTATCATGGAGTCAGTAAGTAAGGAAGTGCTCAAATAATAATGGGGATGTATAGAAAGAACACTGAAGGCAATCTGAAAAGTCACCACATGACCTAATCTGGGACAATTTGAACCTCAAAATAAATAATAACGATGATTAAAATCTGCAGAAGAAAATAAATATCCATGAGCTAATACTGATACAAATAAATACATACATAGGGGAGAAATGATTGCTTTTCCTTACAGTAGAATCCTATTTAATGAATGGAGGAGGAATGACAGAAATTAAAGATCAACATTGGCAAACACCACAATAACGGTGCAGGTAGAAAAACAAATACCACATTTGTCACTTACATGTGGAAGCCAAAAAGTTGATCACAGGGAAAGAGGGGAGTAGACTAGTGGTTACCAGAGCCTGGCAAAGGTGTCAGGAAAGTATCAGTGGAAGGAAGATGGTTAATGGGTACAGAGATGTAGTTGGGTAGGAAGAATAATTTTCTATGTTATATACCATAGTAGCATATTGCTTGTTAGTGATTAATTGAATTTTTCAACATAGCTAGTAGAAAGGAGTTGAATGTTCCCAACACAAAGAAATAATCATGTATGTCTGAGGTGATGTACCAATTAACCTGATCTAATTATTACATATTATATACACGTATTGAGATGTCACATTGTTCTCATAAATTATGTGCAATTACTACTTGTTCATTAAAAATAAAAGTATATTTCCTCAGTATGTTGGCATATGCCTATAATCTCACCACTTGGGAGCTGCAGCAGAAGGACCACCACAAGTTTAAGGCTAGCCTGGGCTACCTAGGGTGTTCAAGCCCAGCCTGGACTACATAGCAAGACTGTCTCAAAACAAGATGTATATTAAAGAATAATTTGGAACAGGGATTAAACATCTGTGAATACTAAATGAGTGAATATAAATGTGATGATAAATAGTATACTTGTATAATCTCAAAGAATCTCCTTGTTTTGTTTTTTGTTTTTGGTACCGGGGATTGAACTCAGGACCTTGCACTTGCAAGGCAGGCAGTGGCACCACTGAGCTAAATCCCCGGCCCTCAAAAAAATCTCCTTGGAAGAACCCTTAATTTAAGATACCACTTTAACTGACTGATCAAAATTAATATCACCAAAAATAAGACATCCAGCACATCTTGATATAATGTATTGAGAAGGACATCAAGATTCATAATCCCGGAGTAACCATGAGCAAACCTCAGCCAGACTTCAGGCATGGTGGCACATACCTATAATCTCTGTACTCTGAAAGGCTAAAACAGGTTGAACCCCACCTGGACAATTTAGTGACAGTGAGTCACAATCCTAAAAACTGACTTAAAAGGGATGGAGATATATATAGCTCAGTGTGAAGGTCCAGTATTGGCAAGATAACTATACCAGAAAGGAAAACTAATGAACTGTCTCAGAGTGGAGGAGATGAAAAAAAATGACAACTAAATGTAGTGTGGGATCATGTATTATATCCTGGCTAGAGTAGAACACTGGTGGAATTTGAGTAAAGTCCACAGTTTAAGATTAGTTAATAGTATTAATTAACATTATATCAATGTTAAATTTCTGGGTTTCAGCAATTTCACTGTGGTTACTTGAAATATTAATATTGGGTGTTAGTTATATATAAACTTTTTTATAGCTTTTTTATTTAAAGTCTACAATTGCTTCAAAGTGAGAAGTTTTAAAAAATTGTCTCTGCTTTGTGCATTCAGCTCAGGTTTGTCTTCTGAGTTCCCGACTTATATGTCCACTTTGGTATCTCACATTGCAAAATATTTTACCTAAGGTTCTGATTGTTGTGCCTGTCCAGCTCCTGTCACACTATTGTCAAATGTTTGATTCCAATCCATTTGTTTTTAAGGTCAGACTTTGTATTTTTCCATCTCTAGCCTTTCAGTTTTTAATGTTTTCTATCTCATGGAATATGTGAATTTTAAATGTCTTTAAATGCCAGTTCTTTTTCTTTGTCATTTCTAGGTTTGTTTTGATTGTTTTTTAATTTATGTCATGGGTCATATTTTCTTGATTCTTTGCATTTGTGATTATTTTCTATTGGATGCCAAACCATGTGAAGTTGCTGCATATTTTTATGTTAATATGAATATACTTGAGTTTTGTTTAGGTTTCAGTTGTGTTACTTGGAAACAGTTTGATCTGTTTAAGCTTTTCACATAGATGAAAGCAGCCTATATTTTAGGGCTTATATTTTCTTACCAGCATGGCAGCACCCATGAATTACCATGTTTTTTACTGTGACTGGTGGGATCTCTTGCTTGCTGTGTGTGGGCTGTGCAAATTGTTCCCTTCACTCTTTTCAAATGGTTCTTTCTCCAGCCTCATGTAGTTTCCTCACATCTACATGATTATTAGCACTTAGCAGAAGACTCAGTGGGTCTTCTTGTATCTCTCTGGAGGTTTTTATCTGCGCTGCTTTCTTCTCCAGCACTCTTTCCTGGGAGTTCAGCCACTTGGACTTCCTGCAACTGACAACTTTGTCTCCTCTTCTCACGGAGACTATATGGCAATAAGCTGGGGTACTTAAAGGACTCACCATCTTCTGTATTCCCACCTGAGGGATCACTGTCCACTGCTGCTGGTTTTGTCTATTTTTAAAGTTGTTTTAGGTAGAGGATAAATCCTGGTTACTCTGTCTCAGCTGGGTATAGAATTTAACATTTATCTTCTAATTTTTTTTAAAAATTCGAGGAAAAGATTCAGATCAATCTGTATTATAAACATGTTTGGATTAAATTTATATCCCACATAATTTCTAGATAATGTATTAATATAAATATTTTATGTGTCACATAAAATATATTCGGTATACTGAGGTTATTTTCAGTATTTGTTTTCTGTCCATATTTATGATGTGAAATTGTTTGACATACATATTAGCAGAGCAGCAGAGTCCTAAGTAATTAGAAAAATAGTGTTTCAGAGTATATGTAGCAGGGCTGGGGATTTAGCTCAGTGGTTCTGCCTCACAAGCACAAGGACCCAGGTTCGATCCCCAGTACCAAAAAAAAGAATATATGAATATATGTAGCAACTAATAAGTGTCTATATGAAATAAATTTGATAATGGGAGGAGGCTAATACAGTATTTTCAAGCACAGTAGAAATGCAGAACACTGGACTTAATGACAGTTAAGAAAGTGTAAATTGAATGTTGGCTAGCTTATAATTAACATTACTTCTTTGTGTCTTTATTACTTTCTCACATAATCTCTTTGCTTTATTAAAATGGATTTATAGTATTTTTCTCAAAGGTAATTGTGAGAATTAAGTGCATTTTGTGAAAGTGCTTAGTAAACTAACTACAAATGTAAACTGTTCAGGTATCATTTTGAGGTTTAGCCTGAGAAGTGTAAGTTTCAAACAATATGTACACTGGAAAAATTTGACTGTACCTGTGTACCTGAACCTAACATTAAAAACCAGAATTATTATCTTGGTCTGTGTTTGGTTAGTGTTAGAAATTCTTGAATTTGAATTTTGATACCCAATTTAGCAGAAATGAATCATGTTATCATTTCTCTCCTTATCTAGCAATATACCATTTGCACTTAACCTACATAGGTGATCTAAGGTTATGGAGAGAAATAAGGATGTTGCTCAACAACTTTCATCTTTAAACAGAGAATACAGTTCAGCAATATGCATGAGTTTTTATTATGCATTGGTAGAAGATCCTTAGATATTAAGCGAGGTAACTCAGTAATTAGAAAATTTGAGGAACAAATCATTAAGTCAGATTCTGTGTTCCATGTAAATAACAGCTACAATCCATAGAGTGGATTCGATGACCTTGTTTTTTATAGTCTAAAACATTTTCTACAGAGCAGTGCAGCAACTCTTACTTACAGTCAGAATAAAAAGCTACAGAATAATGTGAGGCTTGCTGTATATTTATGAATCAGAGTTTAAGTGAAAACCACAATTATTTCCTTGTATGTCATTCATGCTTTAGCAGAGGATTTGATACCGCAGAGCTGGGTTGGTTTGTAGTTTCTCATTTAAGGTTGCACCATTTTCTTTTCCTTTTTAGAAGCCACAGCAGTTTTGATGTATTAGCAAACCACAAAATGTACCTTCTTGAGTATTTAGCTGGAGGAAATGTATTAGTGTTATTTGGTAGTCACAGTACTTGCTGTATCATTCCTGTTTAGTCCTGTTTTGAAAATGTAGCATAAATAAATGTTTATATACATATTTGGGAGGTTGGTGGTATATAGGCAGACGTGGAAGACAATTTGGAGCCTTTTGAATATAATTATTTGTGTTTAAAGAATGTTTTAGGGTTTGGGTTGTAGCTCAGTGGTAGAGCACTTGCCTGGCGTACACGAGGCCCTAGATTTACTCTTTAGCGACACATACATACAAAAGATGTTTATGCTGTTTAACATGACTCTAACATTTTAAATCTCTTATTTTTCTTTAGCATCAAGGCATGCCATGGATTACCTCTCATAAATGGACAAAGCTGTGATCCTTATGCAACAGTTTCTCTAGTGGGTCCTTCTAGGTAATGTTTATTGTTACTGGATTTTTGAAGCTTAAAGTTGGATTTAAGAATTGTAAAATAAAGGTTCTTAAAGCAAATGCTAACTAACTATGACACAAAATAATGAATGCTTTGAAAAAAGTGTCTTTAGTGAGCTCTTATACACACTTTTAAACAACCAAGTCCTGTTTTTACAAAAATTGAATGGCCTATTCTTTAGGCTAGAGAAAAGCCTCAGTTTTATGCTTTTAAAATGTACTTTAAATATAACATTGGCCTTCTCATCTCATCAGCAGTCCTACTTCCAAATGTCCTAAATTTTGTGCTGGTGAAATCCTGTTTTAATAAATGCCAACTCAGAATTACAAGGCATTTTCCACATTGTTTTCTGAAAAGCATCTCAGGCTGAAAATTGCCTTTTGTACTCATGTGATCTGTCAGTGCTCTACAGAGAAAATTCCAAGCTGCTAAAGTAATAGAATGTGGAAAAATGTATCAGTATCATTGATTTAAAGGATTTATAAGTTATTTAAAAACATGGCACTTTATGATATTTTATAACTTTTTCATTATGGCTTCTTTAAGGGACTTTCTGTTCTAAAATTTGTCTAGTTTGTATTTTTAAGGTTTAGAATTAGGAAACAAAAGCAAAGTTATTTCCTGTGCACACACAGACATACGTACACAAATGCATCCCTTCACCCCATCCCTAAGAGCTCTAGTTACTTGTTTTAAAACAAAATCACTAATAAGTCACTTCTAAAAACCTATTTATGTTTGTATATAAAGTACCTGATATCATACTATGTTTAGTATCGTGAATGCTCAAATAATGGTATACTATTGTTACAGAAGGTTTTTAATTTAAAAGCAAATAATGAGTGCTGTTATGAGTTTATTTTTGTGTGTTAAAAAATGTTCAACCTAGTGGAGCTTTTCATGTTTAATGATCTATACCTGATTTAATGGCATATACCTGACAAAATTTTTGTTTAGTAACATACAGCTAGAAACTAGCATTAGTTTTTATTTTTGAAAGTCACTTTTGGTTTTGCTGTTGTACTGCAGTTGTTTAAGGTGTTCATATGGGGAGAGGAGGCTGGATAAAGGCACAGGACTTCTCTGTACATTTCTTTGTAACTTCATCAGAATCTAATTATTTCCAAGTAAAAGGGTTTTTTCCTTTATAAAGTCACTATGATAGCCGAAGCCCAAGGAATAAACTGAATTCAAGTTTTTGAGGTATTTCTGGGGTATTTTCTCAACATAGAAAAAAGGCACTATAAATCTCATTGCTTTCCTTCTCAGCATTGTTCTGAGTTGCTTATATAGTACAGTACGTTTTAAAAACCCCTAAGAGAGCTTACCAGCCCACTGTAACCATAGAGGGAATAATAAAATCTTGTCATACACAGGATTTTCTTTTATTTGAATTGTGGGAACACCTTGGGTTTTTTTTTGTTGTTGTTTTTTTTTGTTTGTTTGTTTTTACTCCTAAGTAGTATTTAAAATTGTAGTCTTCTTTGGGTCATTTTAGCATTTAAACAGAGGTCAGGCTCCCTGGTTGGAAATAGCGTCTTTTATAATTGTGTACTATTAAGTTCTACAAGGTAAAACTCTACCACATTGGAACAGGAATGACCAGAAGAAGACAAAAGTAAAGAAGAAAACAAGCAATCCACAGTTTAACGAAATCTTTTACTTTGAGGTAATTTCTTGTTTTATGTAAATGTTGACATTGAATATTCAATATTGAATTCTAGTTGATTTCTTTTTTCAAACCTTGCCCATGGTAATCATTTTAACAACTAATGTAGCTAAGCATTTCTATCCAGAAAGCAGTAGAACCATGAAATAATGCACATAAAACAGATAAATGCAGAGCTTTCATTGGTCTAGAAGTAGGGAGGGCTAGGGCCACACACACCCAATCTCATCATATTCACTGTCATATTGTCCTCCATATCCTCTCCTCCCCATTCAAGCCTCCACTGCTGCATAGTGGCTGCAGAACTATTCTGTAGTGTACTGTTTGAAAACTCCTAGTAAAGTATGATTATGACTTAGCAGATCTAAAATCTATTCCCATGTGCCTTTGAATAAGTCACAGTAAGGTTCAAATTTCTTGTAAGAAGGGAAAAGGGAATACAGTGGCAGCCCAGCCTTACTCAAAAGAGTTTTTCTTGTATGTCCAAAGCATGTGAGAATCCTTTGAAAACATAAAATGTTACATAGTTACAGTTATTATTACTTTTTAATCTGATTCGCTCTGTAGACACATATTTATTTTCATGGAGATCTTCATCTGCTTGAAATTGTCCCTCAGTTCATCACTTGGGAGTTCTTTACAGTGTTAAGACCTTCTTCATATTCATTGAAGACTACAGAAAAAAATCAAAAGCAGACTATTTAAAAGATTCTGTAATCATGGAACATGTTGCAGTTGATACTGGTGTGAGAAAGGTTTGAAAAAAGGAGTTACATTTTGTGCTTTTTCTTCTTTTGCATGTGTGTGTGGTTTTTTTTTTTTTTTGGTTTTTTGTTTTGTTTTGTTTTGTTTTAAAGTGGAAGGAGTACTAGAGGACTGTATCTGCCTGATTACTATACTTAAATAAAGGAACACAAGCTGAAGAAAATGCCAAAAGTGAAATAGGAAATTGGGTGGGTGGAAGCAAGGCAGAAAGAAAATATACTAATGTGTGACTTTTCCATTTTGTGGCTAAGGACTTGGTGCAGATTTTCTACGTTTGTTAATAACTTACATCTAAGCTGAAGAAAACAAGGCAGTAATTTAAAGGTCTACTAACCAAAGGCATACACACTACCCATTCATCCATATACTGTGACCTCTACTGTGCTTTATAGGGCCTTGCAGCAAGCTGATGGCTTTTTGGAAGTCAGGTCCTGACCTGCTTGCAGTATTTAGTGGGCTCTTTGTTGAGTTGGTTGTGAAAATAGTTGAGTTGCTATCTCTGTCCTCTAACTAGAGCAAGAGACAGAAAACACATACGTGCACACATATACCCAGTAGTAAAGTGCAGGAGATACTTTTTTTGGTACCAGGATTGAACTCAGGTCCTTGCACTTGCAAGACAGGCAGCAGCACCACTGAACTCAATCTTCAGCCTCTAGGAGATAACTTTTTGAGCTAAGCTGGTCAGGAAAGACTTGAAGAAAGACTGTATTTTCTTAACTTAGAGGAAAGAATATAGAGAGAAGGAACATTTTGGGCATAGGGACACAAAAACAGAGTTAGTTATGCTCAAAGAAGAGCAAACAGTGACTTAACTAGGTTTCTTTAAGAAAGTAATAGGAAATAAGTTTAGAAAGATAAGATAGGACCAGCTGATGAAAGCTTTGCAGTGCCTGACTGAGGCACTTCAATTTTAACTGTTGAATGTTTTTGATCCTGGAAGCAATAGGAGGTAAAGCAAAGCAATGTTTCTGGAAAGAATTAACCATGATCTGTGTGTTAGATGACTTAAGGAGAGAATACAAAGCTCAAGAGACTGTTATAGTGTAGGTATAACAAAAGATCAGATGTGTTCAAAGAGAATAATAGGGAAATAAGAGGGTGCACATAAGAAAGAGCAAGATAACAAATTAATTATAGAAGAAAAGAGAAGGAAGTTAAATTTTGCCTCCATGATTTTACATCTGGAAAAATAGATAAATTAGTGGTTTAGTTTGGGGCATACCAAGCGAGATCTGACATGTAAAACGCTCTAATTGGCTATTCGTGTCTAGTACGTAAGGTGGAATGATGGTTGTAGATGAAGATGCAGGATTTGTTTACAGAGAATCAAGAAGGCCAAGTGAGTAGACAAATAAAGGAGAAAAGTGAAGAAACGCAGTACTGCCACTTATTAGGGATCCAGTTTTGAGCATGTCACTTCATTTCTGTATTTTAGCTTCCTCATTTTTAAGATGAGGATAGTAAATCTAGCCATGCCTGCCTCAGAGCAATGTTCTGATGAACAAAGAAGACAATGGATGTGACAGTACTTTGTAAACTGTGCAGGCCTGTTCAGCTCTGAGATGTTTTTAGAGCAAAATAAAAGATAAAACCTTTGAGAATACCCCTGTTGTTTCTGAGGAAGAAATAGCATCTGAAGAGTGCCAGGATAAACTCAAAGCAAAAAGTGGTTTATAGAAAGAAGCTGTGTGTTGTATTGATCACTAAGTTAGAGACCAAGGTCAGTGGTGAAAGTAAAAATTGATCATCAGATTGTGATGCAGATAGAGATTTTAGAAGGATGATCTGTGAGGAAGCCAGATGTAAGGAGTTACTGTTGTGAGTGGGTGGTGAAGTACAAGCTGTGGGATGAATTACAGTTTTAAGATATTTGTCTGAGAAGAGAAAGAGGTAGAAAGACCATAATTTAAGGGGAGAATTTTTCTGACTTGAGTGACATGAACAAGCTAGTAAAAAAAAAAAGGCAGTAATTAAAATAGATTGGATGCTTTCTCCATGCTTATTACATACTGTATGTGGGTAGAGTAGTCTTAGAAAAGATGAGAATCATCTTATTCTCTTGTTGAGAAGAGGTTGAGAAAAATCAAATAGGCCTCTGTAGGGGGTGGACATGTTCGGGTGGAAAGTAATATAGGTGAGAAAGTTCCTGCCAGTGGTCTTGATGTCTTCATGAAAAATGTAAGAAGGAACGTGAGCACGATTAGTATTTTGGGAAATGTGAGAAAGACTTTAAACAATTTATAAACTTCTTTGAAATAGGACATTTTCTCTCTTTGAGTTGCTAGCAGATAACAGACATGAGCCAAAGAGCCTAATGTTTGCTGTATATTAAGTTGATTGGAGATAAGACGGTTTTTAAAGTTCTTTTATTCCACTTCATTCTTAACTTTTGCTACTTCATAGCACACTTTCCAAACTTCTGGGCAAAATATCATCTCCGCATGTTTTTCTTTTTATAGTCATAATCAAATGTTTGGGGATTGGTCATTTTAAGTTCATGTTTTAGGAGGAAAAAAAGATACTTCAAAAATGTTTTTACTAAAATATTTTGTCTATAGGTAACCAGATCCAGTAGTTACACCAGAAAATCCCAGTTCCAGGTAGAAGAGGAGGACATTGAAAAGCTAGAAATTAGGTATGTGCCTTGGAATTTTACAGAATTGCTTTTTTCTGTGCCAAAAGAAAATCCTAAATTTAACTGAGAAAGATGAACCAGTCTTAACAGAATTTTCTGTAGCAAGTTGGTTGATGACACTTAGAGAAACATGCATCTAATTTAAATGCAAATTATTTTTTCATAATCTGATGTGTCTGTAGAAATAAAGTATATTTATTTTATAAACAGATGACCTAAATTTCACTTATTTCATTGTATTTTTAATTTTTTTCTTAATTTAATTGCTCCTTAAATATCTGGATCATAGCATAATGAATGAAAAATCAATGACATTTAAGCCAATTTAGAAATAATTGTTTTATTCTTCTTAACATATCTGCTGACTATCAGAAATTTCAGTGAGGTAAGAAGATAATTCATCAGGTGCATGTGTTTGAAGTTTGTGATATTTCCTAGGTCTTATTTAGACAGGAAAGTTTTACAAATGCATGTGTAGATGTGGTGTTAATAGTGTGTCATCTAGAAGATATATTAATCATATGTTTGGAGTGATCAGGTAGTATATATTTCGTAAGTCATCTGTTTTTTTGGATTGGTGATAAGAGAGGAACTGTGTATCTTGTGTTGGTTTCTTTTCTCAAATTCAACAAAGTAACTCTCCTGTCCTTATTACTATGGGTTAAAATAAAGTCTAGAGTTTTCAAGTTTTCAGACTAAGAAACTTAAGTGCCTTCTTTTAGATTTTTTAGAATTAATTTTTGTGTGTGTTTTAAAATAAAAGCCATTGTATTTTGCTTCTTCGTGTATGTATATATATAAATATATATATATGTGTGTATATATATAAAGCGAGGTACATGACAATGCTAACATCTCTTTTAAGCATGTAAAATTAATGCTATAATATAAAGACAGTAATTTGGTCTGCATTCTCAAACATTTTTTGCATAAATAAAGTCAATTTTCAATTTTCAGGATCGACTTGTGGAATAATGGGAACTTGGTCCAAGATGTTTTCCTGGGTGAGATTAAGGTTCCTGTGAGTGTGTTAAGAAATGACTCCTCTCATCAAGCCTGGTAAAAGAAAATTCTAGTGAATTACATAGATTAATCCTGTTTGATACAATGTACATAGAAATAAATACTAGTCAGAATGTTTTTAATTTGCTATGGAATAAAGCAAAAGTCATTAACATTAATTGATTTGGTTATGAATTCATTATTGTAGATGTATAAGTGCTTTAGTAACATGATTTGTGCTACTGACATAAAAGAACTGGATTATCTAAGAATATTTTTCTGTTTAAAAATGAAATCAACACTAAGGAAATGGAAAACATTTCAAATAATACATGAGTTGCCCAAGTGGGCAGATATTTGGTAATAAACCAGTATCTACGGTTCAGAAGCTTTATTGTTGATCGTAAGAACTGTGGATATTTGAAAGCAAAGAGTTTATTCAGGGGACTCAGTTGTTTATGGGAACTAAGCAATGGTTTTCCCTCACCGTGCTTCATTGACATGCACCGTACATGACCCTGATGTTATTTTTTGAGTGTGTACAGTCTTGATGTTGTTGAGTCTGTTGATACATGTTTCAGTAGATCTGGGGCTCAATAATGGCTGCAATGTTATTTTATCTTTTCATGATTCTATAGTGACATTATATTGATGTTAAATTACACCCAATGTTCAGATAATATTTATGCTCATTTCCTTAGCAGAATCAGTGTGAAACTATTGTTTTTTCTATCTATAGCATTTAAAAGCATGTGTGTTCTCTTCCTTCCAGTAGGTTTTCCAGCAATGCTCTTGCTAAACTTGGCTCCAGCTGAGTATAATTAAACATGAGTTTCTCATTTGCCTTTCAAAGTCCCCCTTTTTAAAGTGACTTATAATCTTTATACTTATCTATAGGGTACAGTATTATATTGCAATACAGAAATATATTGAAGGGTAATTAGTAGTTAATTGTTGTCTTCTCAAGTATCATTTCTTTGTGTTGGGAAACCTAAAACTCTGCTGTAGTTATGGTGAAATGTGTAATTTATTGTACTATATAGCATTGTACTATATAGCTATACTCTATTGTACTATATAGCATTAGAACTACTACCCATACCATCCACTGCATTTTGGTATCCATTATCCACCTTCTCTCTCTGTGCCCTCTTCCCTCCTCTTTCTGGTCTCTAGTGACACAAATGAATGAGAACATTCAGTATATTTTGTCTTTCTGTGCCTCACTTCACTCAATATAATGTCCTCCAGTTTCATCCATGTTGTTGTAAATGACAGGATTTCATCCTTTTTATGGCAGAACTTCCATTGATGAATGATTGGAGTTTCTGAATGTGGCATATATACACTGTGAGATATTTTTTAGCCATAAAACCACTTTTTAGAACTTAATTTATACTGCTTAGAAGAGGAGTTGACAATAAATATTTAAATATTTCTTTTGGGTGTCATATGTCCTTGAAAGAGCATCCCCTCCTGGCCATCAGATACTCTTCATTTTGGATTTTTGCATCCTATAAGCAGTTACTTCTTTCAGACTGATTTTTTTTTTAATTAATACATCTTTGCAGTACATCATGGGGAATGGGTACTTGTAAATAACACATTTTAAATCTTTTCTGTTGTTCTTTTTTCCTCCTCCTTCTTTTCATCTCTTGGTCCTATTTCTTTTTGCAAAAGTTCTCTCCCTGTTTCCCTCATCTATCTTTTATTTTGCTCTTTAATTTATTTGTACTTTGGGTTTCTCATATAAGAGAAACCACGTGATATTTAAGCTTGTATGTCTGGTTTATTTCACTTAACATAGTGGTCTCAAAGTGCAACCATTTTCCTACAAATGACTCAAATTTATTCTTTATGGCAGAGTGGTAGGTACTTCATTGTGCATAAATGTATTTTCTTTATCCATTCATCTATTGATAGATGTACAGATCATTTCCAAGATTTAGCAACGATGAATGCTATAAACATGGATATGTCTAACACTATAATATGATGTCCTTAACTCTTAGGTCTTTGATCCATTTTGACTTGAGTTTAGTACATAGTGAGAAATTTAGGTCTAGATTCAATCTTCTGCATATGCAGAGCTAATTTTCCCAGTAGCGTTTTTAAAGAGATTATGTTTTTGGCCCCTTTGTCAAAGATAGTTGGATGTGCTTGGGGTTGTTTCTGCAACCTGTATTCTATTTCATTGATTTGCATGTCTGTTTTTGTGTTAGTACTGTGCCACTTTTTTCATTGTAGCTTTGTAATATAACTTGAAATCCAGGATTGCTGTGCCTCCTACTTTATTCTTGTTGCCCAGGATGCTTTTGCTCTTCTGGGTCTCTCTGGTTCCATATGAATTTTGGAATTGTTTTCTTTAGTTCTATGAGGAATGCTGGTGGTATTTTTAGATTGCATTAAATATATATAGCAGTTTTGTGAGTGTGGCCATTTTGACAATATTGGTTCTTCCTACTTGGGAACAGGGATAGCTTTCCAAGAATATTTTCTGATGTCCTTTTTCAGAATACTGTATTTTTCATTGCAGAGATCTTTTAGTTCCTTGACTAGATTAATTCCTAAGTATTTAATTTTTCTTATGCTATTGTGAATGGTATTGTTTTCCTAATTTCTTTCTCAGTGAGTTCATTATTGACACATAGGAAGGCTAAGAGTCTTTTGGTGAAATTTTTTGGGTCTTCTATGTAAAGCATCATGTCATCTGCTAATAATGACAGTTTGTATTCTTCAGTTCCTGTATATACCCCTTTTATTTCTTCCTCTTGCCTGATTTCTCTAACAGATATTTCCAGAATTATATTGAACAGGAGTGGTGATGGTAAACTACAGACCACTGTCTTTAATGTAAACAACATGCAAAATTCCTCAATGAGATACTGGCAAACAAAATGCTTGTTCCTGATTTTAGAGGGAAAACTTACAGTTTTCCCAATTTAATATGGTGTTGGTCGTTGGTTTGTCATAACTTAAAAAATCAGATTGAGATAAGGTCCTTCTATACCTATTTTCTTCAGGTTTTTTTTTTAATCACAAATGGTTAGATCTTGTGAGAGGCTTATTGTGCATGTTTTGAAATGATCATTTGATTTTTGGCCTTGCTTCTGCTTATGTGGTGTATTACATTTATTGATTTTCATATGTTGAACCATCCCTGCATCCCTGGGATGAAACCTACTTGGTTATAATTTTCTATCTTTTTGATGATTTTCTGCATTTTGTTTGCCAGTATCTCATTGAGGAATTTTGTATGTTGTTTACATTAAAGACAGTGGTCTGTAGTTTTCTTTTTCTTTCTTTTTTTAAATTTGAGTCCTTATCTGGTTTTGGAATCAGCATAATGCAACCTTCCAGGAATGTTTTTTGGGAATACTCCTGCCCTTTCAATTTCATTAAAGAGTTTGAAGACTACTGGCATTAGAGCTTCCCTAAAGTTCTTGCAGAATTCAGCAGTGAATTCATTTAGTCCTTGTCTTTTTTAGTTGGTAGGTGTTGGATTTTATTATTACCTCAGTTTCATTGTCTGTTATTGGATTAGTTAGGGGTTTTTTATCTTCGAGTTCATTTTTAACAATTCATATTTATCTGCGAATCTAACCATTTATTCTGGATTCTTCAATTTATTAAAGTACCAATTTTCAAAGCAGTAATAGTAATCTGGATTTCAGTAGTGTCTGTTGTGATTTCACCTTTTTCATTTCTAATCGTATTAATGTGGAATTTTCTTGCCTTTTTTTGGGGTAAGATTGGCTAAGGATTTGTTTCATTTATTCTTTTGAAGAACAGCTCTTCGATTCATTGATTCTTTGTATTTTTTCAGTCTCAATTTCATTAATTTCTGCTCTGATCTTTATAATTCCCTTCCTTTTACTAGTTTTGGATTTGAGTTCTTGCTTACTGGAGATA